CACCCACATTCAGGGGGTCTGTGTAGGTCCAATACTGGATTCCCAGCTATCAGTCTGGGGTCCATGAGCTCCCCCTTGTTCAGGTCAGCTGTTTCTGTGGGCTTCTCCAGCCTGGATTTGACTGCTTTGCTTATCATTTTTCCCTCTCCAATTCCAGGAGATTGGCTCAGAGTTTAGCTGTGATTGTCTGCTTATGCTTCCATCAGCTACTGGATGAAGGCTCTAGGATGGCATTTAAGATAGTCATCAGTCTCATTATAGGGGAAGAACATTTAAGGTAGCATCTCCACTATTGCTTAGATTCTTAGTTGGGGTCATCCTTGTACATCTCTGGACATTTCCCTAGTGCCAGATTTCTCTTTAAACCTATAATGGCTCCCTCTATTAAGCTATCTCTTATCTTGCTCTCCTCGATTATTCCCCTGACTCAGCCTTCCTGCTCCCCCATGTCCTCCTCTCCCCTCCTCTTCTCTCCTTTTCATTCTCAGAGCTCCCTCTACCCTCCCCCATGCTCCCAATTTGCTCCAGAGATCTTGTCCATTTCCCATTCTCCAGGGAACCATGCATGTCTCTCTTAGGGTCCTCCTTGCTTCTTAGCTTCTCTGGTGGTGTGGATTGTTGGCTGGTAATCATTTGCTCTATATCTAATATCCATATATGAGTAAGTACATACCATGTTTGTCTTTTTGTGACTGAGTTACCTCATTCAGAATGGTTTCTTCTAGTTCCATCCACTTGCAAGCTAATTTCAAGATTCTACTGTGTTTTGTTTTCCGAGTAGTAATCCGTTGTGTAAATGTGCCACATTTTTCCTTATCCATTCTTTAGTTGAGGGGCATCTAGGTTGCTCCCAGGTTCTGGCTATTACAAATAATGCTGCTATGAACATAGTTGAACAGATGTCCTTGTTGTATGAATGTGCATCCTTTGGGTATATGCCTAAGAGTGCAATTGCTGAGTCTTGAGATAGACTGATTCCCATTTTCCTCAGGAATCAACATACTAATTTCCAAAGTGACTGTACAAGTTTGCACACCCACTAGCAGTAGAGGAGTGTTCCCTTTTCTCTACATCCTCTCCAGCATAAACTGTCATTGGCATTTTTTATTTTAGCCATTCTGACATGAGTGAGTTGTTTTGATTTGCATTTCCCTGATGGCTAAGAATGCTGAGCACTTAAGTGCTTTTCAGCCATTTTAGATTCCTCTATTGAGAATTCTCTACTTAGTTCTGTACCCCACTTTTTAATTGGATTATTTGGTGTTTTGGAGACTAGCTTCTTGAATTCTTTTTATATTTTGGAGATTAGCCCTCTGTCAGATGTAGGGTTGGTGAATATTTTTTCCCATTGTGTGGGCCGTCGTTTTGTCATGTTGACTAAGTCCTATGCCTTACAGAAGCTTCTCAGTTTCAGGAGGTCCCATTTATCAATTGTCAATCTCAGTGTCTGTGCTACCAGTGTTATGTTCAGGAAGCAGTCTCCTGTACCAATTCATTAAATGGTACTTACCCTGTTCTCTTCTAAGAGGTTCAGTGTGGCTTGATTCATGTTGAGGTCTTTGATCTATTTGGACTCAAGTTTTGTGCCTGGTGATAGATATGGATCTATCTGCAGTCTTCTACACTCCAGCATCCGGTTACGCCAGCACCATTTGTTGAAGATTCTTTCCTTTTTCTTTTGCATAATTTTACCTTCTTTGTCAAAAATCAGGTGTTTTTAGATGTGTGAGTTAATATCAGGGCTTTCAGTCCAATTCCATTGGTCCACCTGTGCCAATACCAAGCTGTTTTCAGGATTATAGCTCTATAATAGAGCTTGAAGTCCGGGATGGTGAAGCCTCCAGAAGTTCCTTTATTGTACAGGCTTGTTTTGGCTATCCTTGGTCTTTTGTTTTCCCATATAAAGTTGAGTATTGTCCTTTCAATGTCTGTGAAGAATTGTACTGTGATTTGAAGGGGATTGCATTGAATCTGCAGATTGCTTTTGGCAAGATTGCCATTTTTACAGTGTTGATCCTACCTATCCAAGAGCATGGGAAAACTTTCCTTTTTCTGATATCTTCTTTAATTTCTTTCTTTAAACATTCAAAGTTCTTGTAATACAGGTCTTTCACTTGTTTGGTTAGTGTTACCCCAAGGTATTTTATGTTGTTTTTGGCTATTGTAAAGGGTGATGTTTCTCTGATTTCATCCTCAGCCCATTTACCGTCTGTATATAGTAGGGTCACTGAATTTTTTTAGTTAATCTTGTATCCTGCCTGGATTCTTAGTTGGGGTCATCCCTGTGGATCCCCTAACATATCTCCTGTGCAAGACCTCTCTCCATACCTGTACTGTCTCCCTCTATCAAGGCATCTCCTATCTTGCCTTCCTCTGTTCCTCCCCCATCTCAGTCCTTTTGTTCTCCCCCACTCCCCTTCTTCCCTTCCCACCTCTTTCCTCTCCACCCCTGCCCCGTGCTCTCTGTTCCTCCCCCATCTCAGTCCTTTTGTTCTCCCCCCCTCCCCTTCTTCCCTTCCCACCTCTTTCCTCTCCACCCCTGCCCCGTGCTCCCACTTTCTTTGTTCAGGGGTTCTTGTCCCCCTCCCCTTCTTTGAGGGACTATGTAATCTTCTCTTGGGGTCTTCCTTGTTTCCTAGCTCCTCTGGCAGTGTGGATTGTAGACTGGTAATCCTTTGCTCTATGTCTAAAAATCATATGTGAGTGAGTACATACCATGTTTATATTTTTGTGACTGGGTTACCTCACTCAGGATGGTTTCTTCTAGTTCCATCCATTTGCCTGCAAATTTCAAGATTCCTGTAGTGATATATTTTCCTGTGAACCTGTAACAGTGGCCATACCTTTTGGGCTTAGTTACAGGTGCAGACGTGATCGGTTAAAGGGAAAGGAACTGAGATGGGGGTGGAGATTCCTGAGGTTGCAGAGAGCATCAGGGAGTCAGAATCTGCATCCTTGGAGCAGGAACCCTGTGACAGTCACTTACTATATTCTATGTAAGTTCTTTCCCTAATAAAACTCCACTTAGCATTTATATGGGTCTGGTGAATCCATAATTTCTACACCTACACTTTGTCCTTCATGGTTTGATATTTCCTGCTCTCTGTGGGATGACTTTGTTAAATAACACCTTCAGTTCCAACTCCAAGTTTCCAGTCCTGTACCAGTTCCCACCTACTAGAAGACTTAGCTGCATGTGTTCTAACAAGGGGCACCCATCCTAACAAATAAGGGGAACACATCCTAACAAGGGGTACCTATCCTAAAGCAGTTCTCTGGCTCCCTGTCTGCTCACAAGAAGACTCCAAATATCCTCAGCACCCTGGCCTTCTTGTCTTGACTCTAATCACCTCCTCTGCCAGGACAGGGCAGAAACCTGGGCAGCACAGTCAGTTCCATGGGTGGTTTTGCAAGGTACATGGGTTATTTCTGTATCTTCTCCAAGAGGGATGCCTTGCCCTTTAGGTTGCCTCTCTGTTGACATTCAGTAGACCTTCTGAGAATGTGTATTTGGAATTACTGGGACCAATCTCTAACATGCTTCTACTAAGAATCAAGCTGAGCTACATCCACAGAAGCCTTCTCTGGCCTGCAGTGGCTACTGTGTCTGTCTGTATTGCATTCATCAGCATCATGTACTTTTCAGAAGAAAGCATAATGTCACTGCAATTCCTCATGGCCTCTGCCCTCATACTGACACCAAGCATTGCTTCACTTGTAATTTGGCATGATGACACTCTAAGGTAGGTGTGTACCCTTCCATCTTTCAAACATGTTTATGCAGGCATATTTTCATGGACAGAACACCACAAGTCGTGAGGAGCTGTTGATGTGAGTGGAGTTGGCTGTACCCCTGACCTAGCAGGCTGCTTAGCTTAACAGTGTATTTCAAGGTTATAATAGTATTAACAAGTAGGGCTATCTCAGAAGCTGCTGGGGCTGTTCCTGCTTTGAACTCATGGAAAGGAGGGCAAAGAGACTTCTCCTGGGTCACCACTTGGCCAGAAATAGCAAGCCTTCTGGAGTCATTTCCCCTGAATGTACTTGAGACTGGGGGAGTGGGGCTGTGACTAGTGGGGTACTACATGCCTCTGGCCCAGCATATTGTAATATTCCCTTTCTCCCTAGTAGATATTAGGAGGCTGTGGGTAGGAAGTCTAGAGACTAACACATTCTTTGGGTACAGAGCTGAGAGCTAGAGATCCAGATCATTGGGAATAACCCTGAGGCCTGGTTATTCCCTGAGAACTAAGGGATATCACTTGTCCAGATGGGCCCATGGGCACCTTCACCAGGACAGCTCCGGGTAACTTGGGAGTTTGCCCATGCATATCTTCTGTCTCTCATTTGCTCCTTGGGTGGACAGTATTGGGTTTTCCTAGAAGAGTTCAACCCTAGCTGTCCACCATGGTAGCAACCCAGCCCAGCTATTCCCTGCTATGACTGCATCCTAACCTCCCACATCCAAGAATACCCCCTCATTTCCCAGATAAACTGTGTATCCCAGTGCCTGCCTTGGTGTTTGTTCATGTGGCAAGGTGAAGGCTTGGACTCAGGAGTCTCTGAGAAAACAAGGACTTCTCCATAGGACCACAGCAGGTATCCACTTGCTCTAGACTGCAGGCAGAAAGTGGGGTTTGTAAGGCTAGGCTGAGTTGAGAACGGCCTAGCAGCAGGGCCGCCACAGCCCTCCACTCCTAGAATTTCAGCAGATTTTCTACATGAAATCAAGACTGGGCAACACTGGGTGACAAGAAGCTAACAGAGCCATAGGAGGCATGAGAACCTGCTCTGAAGGGGAAGCAAGTAGGGCCCCTGGAGCCTTAAGTGTTGAGGGGGTGACCTGGAATCCCTGGATATATCAGAAACAGATGCAACATATCCTGCCAACCATGGGACCCATGAGTCAGATGCCTTACCTGGCAGGGTGTGGCTGGGTAGGTTTGGTGACTTCACTATCCCTGTTTCCCACTAGCCCACAGCCTGAAAACGACATGATGTGAAGTAAGCAAGGCAGGCCTTTATTGGAGAACATGGCAACATAGATATACAGAATACATGGGGCAGGAAACATCCTGAAACCCACTCACCCTGGTCACCCACACTGTCCCCTCCCTTGCTTGGGTTGTCAGTGGCATTCGTAGGGGTGAGCCAGACCAAAGGAGATTTTAGGGATGGCTCAGCATTTCTTCTTAAGGCCACAGGGAGATGACACACTAGAAAGGACCCTTCACAGTACTGGCCATAGAGCAGGGCCACCCAGGCTGGTACTAGGTGTGAGGTCGCTCAGCATAATAGGCCAGAAACAGAGCAGGCAGCAAACAGGGTGACTTCTGGGAGGAAGGAAGAAAGCTGGGTATGGTGCAAAGAGGGCACAGCCTTTGGGGCTGAGGGGTTCAGGCCTGTGCCTCCAGAGCCCGCACGTGCACGCTGGGTAAACAAAACCAGGACGGTGGCAGCTCCTTGCTCTTGCAGTCCTCGTGGAAGCGGATGTGGAGGAAGAAGTCACCTGTGTAGAGGAAGAGGAGGGCCCCAAGGCAGGTCGACTGGCCTGATGGCTGCACCTGGAGCAGGAAAAGGAAGAGGTGTCATACTGGATCTGTAGTTCAAACCCCAAAGCTACTGGGAGAGCCTCAAACCTGCCTGACTTCAGAATAATGTGACAGGGTGGGACACACTGCTCTACCCTCATCCAAAGCTTTCTGGCTGTGCTTCTTTGGATGAGGGGCTGCATGTCCCGGAGAAATCCATCTTTGGAAGGAACTACCACGATTTCTTTCCCTGAACTGTTTTGGGTTTAGTGAGAGAGGAAGTATAGCAAATAATGTCCATGGCAATTAATGACAAGAGTCTGAACCAAGTTCTAGGGCTCACTGATTCCTCTGAGGCTGGATGCGTAGTGACCACTGCAGGGAGGAACTGTGGGTACATACTGCTAGGAGCACCACCCCTGAGTGATCCCTGGTTGCAGGACTCTATAGGTTGTCACAGTGGGTTGGACATGGAGACTGTGCCCCAGTTCACACTCACCGTGTCAAGGTAGAAGGTGCTGGAACCCACAAAGGAGATGACATCATGCAGATCATAGTTGTGCACACCATTCTTGTGGTCCTGGAAGGGGACCACAGTGAGGGCAAAGGGCCCCACGCTGTAGGGACTCCGATTCGTCAGCCGCACCTCTAAGTGCACAGGGTCACCAACCTGGCAGGCAGCTGCCACCTCACAGTCACATGGCTGCCCATCCACCAGCACATCTGCAAGAGACGGAAGATTATCAGATGTAACCAGTCTGTCACCTGACTTCTTTGTGTCAGAGCACTGGGGAACACATGGGAGCAACTGGACCCTATTTTCCTGAAATATTTTGGCAGAGATAGGCACCCCCAGATCTGTGGTGTTCCCCTTGGACATTCTAGCCACAGCCACTTTTTCCTCTGCTGGTGAAGAACTTAGAAACTGAAGGGGCAGGACCATGGATGTGGCCCTGCCACACACATCTTTTGATACCCACAGTACTGGAGGTCACAGTCAGGTCTCATCACACAGAGGGTCTTGGGAGAATGACCTGTACAGAGTCCCTGAAGGAGGAGAGTATGGGGAGGATGACACACTCTGAGAACGCCACATTCTCTCAACCTTTCCCAGGTGCAGACGCATCTCACCCCTGCCTTTTATTGCTACTCTCTGGAACTGCACCCATCCTCCATCTGCAGGTAAGCCAGAGCTATAGAAACCCCTCAGTAGCCTCATTCAGCCAGGCATAGTGATGAGGAGCACAGAAGTAAACAAACCCCAATGGAGGGAAACTATAATCCACCAAGGAAAAATCGAGGTCAGCCAAGAATGGGACCATATTGAGACTCCACTGATGGAGTACTCAAGAGGGTTCATCACAGGCCTGGGGAAGTGGGAAGGGACACTTCTCTAATCAACAACCTCCAGGGTATTATTTGTCTCTAAGAGTCTGGTTTAGCTACATCTTCCATTTTTGAATACACAAGACTTGTGGCCTGAGTCTGACCAGGATAGGCTTTATGGTGATCCTGGGTCCCTGGCCACTAGTCTGTCTTTAGTCCACATAAGCACCCTGAAATACTGCAGGCAATGCAAGCATGGGCTGCTCTTTCTACTAACTGTTTAGCTCTCTTGAGCCCACAGTGAGGATCCAAGGGACCTGAGTGTGCCTGTTCCTGCCTATGAGGCTTGTCACTCTCTTGCTGAGCCCCAGTTCTCTCTTTTGTGCAGTAGATCAGATGCAGACACTAATGGCTATGAAGAGAACACACCAAGGTCCTGCTGCACAACACTGTGAGCAACCGCGTTGAGAGCTGTGTATGCAGGATCCAGAGATAGCCTTCTGGAAGGACTCTGTGGTAGCCCCATCCCAGCTTTGATCATAGCACCTGGTAAGTCTGCAGGGCAAGCTCAGTGACTTCTGTCTGCAGCCTCAGTTTCTCCATGTAGCATGGGGCCTCATGCAGAAAGATATCCAACAGTCCTCACCCCTTTCTCAGCTCCACATGGGCTGGGCCCTCACAACTATTCCCTGAGCAGTAAGCCCAATCAGGTGAAGTTGGAGCTGTTTGAACAAAGTGGGGACAGCAGGTGGTGGTGATGGCTGGTTCCGTTAAGGGAGAAATGATTATAAGCAAACCAGCGAAGGGTGGCTGGTGGCTCATTACAACTCTTGCTTTTTTTCTCTCTCTCTGCAGAGGACTATGTGGGCTGTCAGGGCAGCCAGAATAGGGCTGTGGCTCATCTTCCAGCCCTCCCTGCCTGCCTGCAAACCATTTCTAGCCCTGGCTCGGCACAGCCCAAGGCAGACCAGCTGGGATTTCGGCCTCACCTCCACCCAATCGTGTCACTAGAAACCCTCAACATATCCAGCCTCCTTCCTGTCCTGACAGCTGGCAGGAGCTTCTCTGCTTTCTGGGGAGAAGAAGAAGAGGCTCTCCCCAGTTGTAGCTAGCAGCCTCCTTCCAGGGCCCTAGCACATCCACACCCAGAAGACAGGAGGCTCCCCAGTCCCCTGTGGCCCAGAGCCAGTGTGCTCTACCCTTTATGCCATACCTACCTCAACTGATCTCTCCTGGTGGTCATCTGGTCAGTAAATCCATGGAGAATGAATAGGGCTGAGCACTCAGCTCAAACCCTGGCCCCATTATTTCCAGACACATCCTGCCATTTCTGACCTCTTAACTCCCCAACCCCAACAGTAACATGACTGGAAACACAACCTAGAAATGCCTTTCCAGTAGAGAACTTGTTCCCACTGTGGTCCTACCCAGAAAATAAGTCTGTCCGTGGGGGGTGTGGTGAACAATAAACCCCAGAGAATCAGGAGTGTAACTGTCCTGGGGTTGATGTGTCTCTCTTCTGAAAACATTAGCTGGACCATGGATGACTGTCCCCTCCTGCCCAGTCAGTCCTGTAGCTTTTCATCTCTGATAGCAGCTGGCCCAGAGCAGCACCTGCAGCTGCTGCTACACTCACACCAATGCATGGTGCTGGTTCTGCAGAAACCAGTTCTATACACAGAAGACAGTAAGAGGACCATGGGATAGTGGGGTCCATCTTGAAGGCCGCAGGAGACAGGAAGGTGGCTAGTCATATGCAGCCCTGTGGCCTAATTATTCGTAGGCTGCCAGGCATTCTATATGTCTTATGTGTCCCCAAGTCCCCATGTCTTCTAAGGAAGATGGAAAGTAGCATGGGCCAGGCAAATCAAAGACTACTTGAGAGGAGTAAGAGGCAAGTTGGGCACAGGAGTCAAAGGGTCACACAGCAAGGTCATCTGGACCCAGTCCTGAGAACTCTAGATCCTCATGGTCCTCTAAGTTTATAGCTGTCTTTCCCATCTGGTCTGCATGGACTGGGTGGGCAAAGGGGCCATACCCCTGGGCATAGTAGAACAATTGGATCACTCAGGAGCCACAAGACAAAATGGCTGCATCTATCCAGGTCGTCCCTATCAGTGGCTCTGAACCACAGACTCCAGAGGCTAGGTTAACCATGGCCCAGAGAGTGAAGTGTCTTCCTATCTAGGATGGTGTCAAGTAACAGGTTCCAACAGGTCCATGTCCATAAATCCAGGTCCAACTCACCAATCTCCTGAATCACTCAGTGGACGGGAAAAGGGCCAGGAAAGGGCAGGATGGAAGTATGTGGGGGCTCCTCAGGACACATCAACTTACCTGTTCCCCCAGGGGCTCAAACACCTGCAGACCCAGGACTGCATGGTGGCTGAGAATGACCTGTGGTTCTCTGTCCAACTGGCCACCCCTGCCTAGAGTTCATCCCCCATTAGTACAGAGCCCCCACAGCCAGGACCAGAAGGGCTACTTTTCATCCATGGCTACGGATCTAGGGAGGCCATCAGCCCTGCCTCATACACACCTCCCCTCTTTTGCATCCATCCCTGGAAAACAGAGGACTGCTAAATATAGTTCAGAAGCAAAATTTGCCTTTAGGATAGAGAGCATGTCTTCAGGAACAAGGCAGGGACAGCGGAGGGGTTGGTGCTCCAGCCTCCAAGCCTATTCCAGATGAGGAGGTGGACCTAAACTGGACATCCAGGGTTGATCTGGGAGGCACTGGGCTTCAGAAGGGGTCAAGGAGCAGCATCAATCCATAGATGAGGTAAAAGATGGGAAAAGAAATAAGCAAGCCCCAGGGGTGATATTAGAGCTCACCGAGGTGTTCCATGCCTCAACACCAATCAGCTGTCCTCTGAGGGAAGCAGGGGGAAATTCAGCATAAAATCTTCTCATTTCTGATCATCCAGGACAAACAGCCCCATTTTCTCCAAAGCCAATGGAGCTGGTTGCTAGATGCCTAGCCATCCAAATACACTAGTCAAGTAGCTGCTATGCTCACAACCAGACACATTGGTGCCAGTAACTGTAATTTAGTTCCCATAACCCCACACTTGCCCCATAGTCCTCACGTACACAGACTCGCCCCATGCACATTCATGGACATCCACTCCTCTAGGCCTGCCCACTTGCCAATTCCACTAGCCTGCACATTTAGGCAGAACAAGGCTTTGACTCAGAGGCTGTGCTTCCGATCCTTGAGAAAGTGATGTCACATACCGCATTCCTACATCTGCACTCTGGGGCTCCTTGCTACTGAGACAGTGGCCTCTGTCAGAGTGCTGAAGTACCAGGTAGGCTCAGAGGTAAAGGGGTGGTAAGAAGGACAGAAGAATCCAAGTGGTTGGGTGCAAATTCCTGAAGAATAAGCTTGCAGTGACCTGACTGAGACCAGACGGTGGCTTTATGCCCCTGAGTCTCTGCCAGGGCCTGTGCTCTGTGGAGCTGGTGCCACACACACCATCCACCAAATGGCATGTATTTTTAACAATTAGTGAGGTAGCTAATTAGTTCATAAACCAGAATGCCACTTTTGGCATGGAGGCTGCTCAAGACCCACATGTATAATTACCCTCAAGTCAAGAACAGCTCCTGAGGAGCCACTGCCTCTCCTGGGGAAATAATTTACTTTTACAACTTTTCATTAAAGATTAAAGAGAATTAAATTAAGATTAAGGCAAATTGGAATTCAAGAAGAGGGCTGTGTGTGCGTGCAATCCTTTTGGAGGCTCTCTGGCCTCATCCTGGCTTATGGACTCCAGAGAATGAAGGCTGAGCTCCTTAACCCAAAGCCTCTGGCCACTCACAACCTCCTCCATACTGATTGGGGACTGTGGTCATTGGATTCACTGCCTCCAACAATACTGCCAATATCCATGAGAGGCCACACTAAACATGTAGGACAGAACTTTGCTATGTAGGTGTCTACAACAGAGGCATGTGCCAGAATGTTCTTCTACATCCCCAGAAGCCAAAGGCCCTTTCCCTGCACAATCCTTGAGATAGGGCCTAATGTATCCCAGACCGGCCTTGAACTTGCTATCTAGCAGTAGATGACCTTCAACTTCTGATCCTAATACTGGGATTATAGGCAAGTACTACCATGCCTTGACTAGCTGGTACTGGGTATCAGATCCAGGGCTTTGCACATGTCAGGGAAGCACTCCACCAACCAAGCTCGCCTTCCTCACTCCATCCTCTGAAAATAGAAGCATGGGACTTCCTATATCCTTCTTTATGGTACAGAGCCCAACTTACACTCCCACTAGTAGGAAGGCAACTTGGACTCCTCCTCATCTTACTCCACCCAGTTACACCCAGTCTGGGCTGGTTCTACACATCTTGCACCAGGACCTAACCTGGACAATATCCTAGAGTTT